CATGACTTCTCTATGAATTGCTGGAAGTCAAATAAAAAACAAAACATAATTGTATAAGCCATATACACCTAATCTAATTTGTGTGTGTGTGTGTGTGTGTTTGTGTTTGAGATTTTTAACGTAGCTATAACAATTTCGCAGTCATGTCGCTGCGATGTCTGCAGTGTGTCACCAGGCCGACCAGTCCTAACACTAACCTCTTAAATCTGAGTGCCTAGCTGTTAATACCATTTTTGCAAGTCTCAGTTATGGCTCGAACTGGGTTCGAACCTGCGACCTTCCGCATAGGAGGAGTCCTTCAAACTTCTGCCTCATTATCATATCAGGTCCTGTGACCTCCATAATAAATTTCTCACTTCTTCGTCACTCTTAGGTGGCACTCGGCCCATCCCGAACAACTCCAAAACAGCACCGAAAACTATTCTTTAAATAATACGGAGCTTATAGTCTAGTCTCCCTTTCGACCTAGACGATCTCACACCCTCACACAACATTTCATTAGAATAATGGCGATTAAAATGATTAGGTCACGCATGCACTCACATCGAAATATTTCATACACGCTTGGACGATAAAATCAGGGTAATAATACAACAATTCAAATTAAATATTGATATGTACACAATGTACAGTTTTACAACTTGAGAGATAATGCTATTATTCGAATGGTTCCATTCTCGAGGATGTATTTTTGAAACCTTCATATCAATTTGGTGTACATTCAAACGCAAGGAAAATAATCATACTCCACGCTATTGTCTTATTCTTTGTATGGAATTTTAACCTATTTACTCATTCTGTTTTCAACCTATTTATTGAAAATTTTTAACATCTTTTATTTGCTCAATTTTAGAGAACTTTTCCAACGTTTATAATTAATTTCTACCTGAAGGATTGAATTGCTCTTCTGTGTACCAAATCATCATGCCATTCAAATACGGTACCTATGTTTATTTCAGGATGAATTGGACGACGTTATGATGGTTTGGAATGCACACAGAATAAGAGGAAACAGGAACAACACTCCCTCAGGTAGGCCACTGATTCTACACTTATTGCCAGATATAGAGAATATAGAAGATCATTTGTGTGATGTTTCAGAAGAGAAAATAGAAGTGTGCCGTATGGAATGTGCTGAGGAAACAATCTATCTTTGTGAGGAAGAATTATTCGAACTTCGTTGTCTCCATATGGAGGAAAACAATTGGAACCTAACGAAAGCTATTACGAGGCAATAGACTTATATTTTCGCTTATGCAACTGGCTTTTAACATAACTGTGACTGGCTTGATGCCAGATATAGCAATTTCTGTAAATCTTTTTTTTGTCATTAAAACCGTCTCCAATGCATATATCAAACAGTTAATAACATATAGTTATTTCGGGGAGGCGATATAAAGGTGTTTATGTTTGCTTTCCTATCATATTAAAGTCATACTATTTATGCAAATTCTACTAATGAAGAGATTTTTGTTACCGATTTTGACTGTAATATGCTCTCAAATTACTTTGCATTTGTATTAGTTAAGGTTAATAAAGGTCAGGCGAAGATATGTCGCTGTAAATAGGTTGCCCGCTTTGCACCTTGGTTTTTATTGATCACTTCTCCCACAGCTGATGGTCAAAAAACGCTGGAAATATCATTGTATTGAGATCTAATGGGTGCTAAAGGATTTTGCATTTTTTGCATTCAACTCGATGCAGTCACCTTGAAAGATTTTTAGTCGCTACCCGTGCTAGATGGATAGTCATATGAACACCAAAATTTCTCTTCTCCAGGAACAATCCTTACAACGCATTGCTAGTAATAAATAAAAATCGTCCTGATTTAATATCCGAGAGCATGGCCTTCACAGAAGCCATAAAGCCCTGAAGGCAGTGCTATAGCGACACTATCTGAACAGATAGTAACATCGATATATGGTTTCTTATTTGAACATTTCATACGACAATTAATTGGTCTTCAATTTATAAAAATGTACTGGTCAAACATCCTGAATGATTAACAGTTCTAAAATGGCTGCATCCTTAAAAGTTTTTGTCATCGCTTTTCCTTAATGGACGAAATTTTTAAGGGGGCAGAACATAGAAATATATTTAATACAGTTTGTTTTAAATGAAAACGGAGTTGATATGACACAAGCACAATCCCTGCAGTCCGATTGAAATCTTGTAACTCTAAAAGTTAAAATAATACATAAAATTCAGCCATCTTTCCACAATGTGCTGGGCTGCGGTAAAATAAATAGTACATGAATACAAAAAAAAAATAAAAATAAACGGATACCCCACCAGTGTGACTAATACATTAAAAGTAAAAAAAAGAAACGTTCCTTCTGTGGATTTCTGCAAATTTTATATCGAGATTGCGTATAAATTTTAAACAGATTCAGCTCGGAACTGTGACCTTGTACTGATTAATGAATTGATATTAGTCATTGGGATAAGTCTCACTTTTAGAATGCGAATTGTATAGTCAGGATGCGTTGGGTTTTACTAACGTGGCTTTTTTTCATTTTGGATTCGTTGTCTCTGATTGGTTATTTTATGCATTGACTCAGGTCTTCACATGACGGTGTGATTACGACGTACTTTAATTACTTTATAATGTGTAACACGAATCCCATCTACAGTAGGACCCCACATAGTATCATATAAGGTGATCAAATCCCAATGATCATCAGGCCCCACCACACAAGGTGGCAAACAAAAAGCCATTTGGGTACAGATATGGAACCCACTAATTCGTTACAAAACCCTGACCGTTAGGCCCTCAAAATAAAAATAGGTACATAGACCTCGAAATTAGCAGACTATAAGGTAACCCAGGACCTACAGGACCAGTCACACAAAGTGACAAACATAAAATTAACATACCACTGACTGTGATCAGTGGAACCAATAACCTCCGTCTTAAAAACAGCACAGAATATATTCTAAATTCTTCATCTTTCGGCATCTGTCTACATTATAACCATGGACATTCAAAAATTTGGAAAAACCGAAAACCCGGTGGAGTTGCCACCCATTTAAAGCCTTCTTGGCCCTTTCCACTCCCGGGAATTCATTTAATAGTGTGCATTGCGTGAATTAAAACTCTCGTAGAAAAATCAGTGTGTCACAAATCCCACTCAAAACACTGACTGTATCAACGACTGAATCATGACTGCGTGATGGGTTTTTCCCTACTCGTTCAAGCCAACCAATCAGGCAAGCATGGAACCTTCCAGTTAACGTTCTGCTGTCTGACGGCTCATTTAGAAGCACTCACTAAGTTCATTAACTCCTGGGGGAGGTAGCACTCGTACCCTTCCTCGTACCCATGCAGGCATTAAACAGTGGCGCATGCACAATATGAGCGCACGCCACTATAATTTAAAAAAGTTTAGTTCCCGCGCAAGTGGGGTGGAACCTGCTTTTCCCATCGCATGACGCAGCAAACCTAAACATTTGGCCATTTTGAACTGCTTTGAAGTTTGTTCATTATAATAAGTTACTAAGACAACAATGACTACATTACGTGTCTTCACTAACAGCAGTGTAAACAATAGTTTCAGATTTTGGAAACAAACGATTTCTTCAATTTGTACATTACAATGTTCCAGGAATAAAAAAAAATAGTTTCGATGGTACCGCCAACATAAATTATAATATGACATAGGTATAACCTATGCTAGCTGAATAACATTAGCTGTTGTCATAGAGTTGTCAGATGTGATGCCTTTTATCTCGTGCACGTTCTCAGCAATTGTAATTAAATTCTCTCTCGCTTCAAGAAATATTTAGTGATATTGTCATTCAGTTAAACATAAATGTATCAGACGACTACTGTTATGTACGTTAATATACCAAATAATACTTTGTGTGTGCATAACACGTAATGACGTCACAAATAACACCATGCAAAGGAAGGCGTAACGACTGAGGCTTCCGAATGTATTTCGAAGTCATTTCACTATATCCTTCATTCTTTTCATATCTCCTTCTGTCTCTCTCCATGATGAATAAAATTACGTGGAAAAAATATGAGAGAGAGAGAGAGAAAAAAAATACTTTGAGCTGGATGAACACTTTGAACTTATACTAAGTAACCTAGAAGAACCTGAGCCGATATAATATGTTTACAGCTTTCCTTAGGATTTGTCGAGTCGTACACAATACTGAAGAGACAACATCGCACTTGCCTCTGGCCAGGTTGCACTTATATACTTATAATCTATTTTATTATGCTTGATTCTGTTTTTAAGTTCTCTTTAACCTATAACTGTAACATTGGTAAATATTAAACTGGCTTAAGATCTCTCCCTCGTTGGTCAATTAGCGTGTCAACGTTTGCTTTAATTGATCCTGATCACGCTCTGTCTCTCACTGGATTTATGATGATAAAAACTGCTAGAATAATCGAGGAACAAAAATGTAAAGAGATGGACGATATATGCAATGTAATGGTCAGCCACTGCCCCGAAAAAATAATTGATCCAGCATACCCCATCTCTCTCTCTCTCTCTCTCTCTCTCTCTCTCTCTCTCTGATCATAAGGCGGAAAGCAAAGGTCGTATCGGATTTGCATGAGAATCAGGATGGATGGATGGATATATATATATATATATATATATATATATATATATATATATATATATATATATATATATATATATATATATATATATATATATATATGGAGGATTAAAAAAGGATAAAAACAATCTTATGGTCTTATGGTCAGTAGCAACGATAAGAAAAACACTGTAAATAACTAACATGGGTAATAGGATGGTTCAAAGGTTAGCGTGCCTGCCTCATTACCGAAAGAGTGCGGGTACAATCCTACAATCGAACAGCCTGGGAGAGTTATAGTGGTGTGCCATTGGACAATGCACTTTACTCCACTTATTTAAATAACCGACCTGTGTTGTTGTGTTATAGGTAACTAACTTATTTTGATGTACCATAAAGCACTAAGCCCAACCAAAATTTTAAGTTTCTGTATTACTCCTAACCGCTTCGATGGCCTGATGGTTAGAACGTCCGTCTCGGATACGGGAGGTCGTGGGTTCGATCCCCGGCCGAGTGATACCAAAGACTTTATAAATGTACTAACAGCTGCCTAATTTGGCGCTCAGCATTAAGAGGTTAGGACTGGTCGGCATGGTGTCAGGATAATGTGACTGGGTGGGACATCAAGCAACATTTCTGCGGCATGATGCCAAAGTGCTATATATCACTATAAATCGCTACACTGCAGATATCGTAACGATATGACAGAAAAATTGTTGAAAATTTCGTTAAAAAATCAGATCACACACACATATACACACAAACACACACACACACACACACACACACACACACACACACACACACTCACAGAGAATTACCTCTCGCTGTTGTCATTTCAATCAGGATATTCCTCACTCGGTTTGAAGTATTTGTCGGTTATCAAATGGCAGCACTTTATTTGTTCGGTATGCTAGCCATACAATGCTTGTAGTGCACACTTCATTTAAACCATGGGTCTTAAACTCAAACCACTCTGAGAGCCGCATGAGGGCATTTTAAATGGCTCAAAAGCAGCACCATCTTTGTTATCTATCATGACACCTTGTTACTCCAACCATTATGAGGGCCACAGGATACGGCTTAACAGGTCGCGTGTTTGAGACCCCAGATTTAAACGAAATTTCACTTTTAAACTCTGCGCGTCTATAACAAATGTAAACGAAGCTTACAAATGGAGCAAACCAAAAGTTTCCAAAAGTATTATAAATAACTACACCAGATCCAGAGCTGTATTTCGTAGCAGGGACCCCAGTTGACCGTGTAGTCTAAGGCGCCCACCTTTACCAATCATTGCCATCCCACCTCTATCCTCATGGGTTAGATTGTTGGGCCCAGCCAATGTAAATATGTAAGAAAGCTTGCCAGTGACTTCCCATTGGTCGGTGGTTCTTATCGAGGTTTCCCGGGTTCTTCCTCCTCCAGTTATACTGGCAGCCTTTTATAGCTTATCTTGGGTTTATAAATGTCAAAGCCAAAATAACGACATTTCGTACCAGGCACACAGTAAATGAATGTAAGAACACTTCCTCCGTTATTGCAGTTTTTCTCAAACAAAGCTTTTGCTCGGATCACCACTGATAGAAAGATGGTATGTATATGTTTGGCCTGGGATGTTGAACCTATCAGCAAGGCTGAACACGTTTATAGTTATCACACAGTTTTGGTGGAATGGTGTTGCCCTCCTTCCAGATCCACAGATGCCTATAGGCACCGTACCGCTAGACACTTACGACTGTCTTTGGGCAAAACGTGGCTTATAACAAAACTTCTGTGTATAGGCCAAGCAGAGAATACTTAAACAATGCATTCACTCGGTCACGCCCAGATTAGTTGGTATATGGCATAGGTTTATAAAATCTCTTCATCGCTCATTTATATGGGGCCGTCAAAGATAGAATACATTCAAACGTTTTTTCTCCGCTTCAGAAGCTAATTCAAGCTGATTTGTTGTTGTTCCTGTTGTTCACTATATCGCCATTGCTCAACTGAGCTGTCCAAATGCATCAGCCGCTTGCATTCCAGCCAATTTAGTAGTTTCTCAACATCACGGTCACGATATGCTTCTGCAATGACTCTTGTGAAGTTTTGTAGCTGATTAATTTACTGAAAGACTTCGTCACCTTTATAATAATATACATCTTTTCATGCTGGTATTGCAGATTTTATCCAATAAACACAAGAATAATTTGGTTCTCACTCTCAACTATTTGATGAGGGTGTTATAAACGTACTCAGATTCGCGTTCGACATTTGAGAGGAGTCATACCAATTTCGTTTAACAAGTGTTGGTGCCATTGAAGTTTATATCCTCCCTATTTAATAGGCGAGCATAGCTACATTAGCAAGGCTGAAGGAGGCGTTGAGATGGAGGCTTATTGCCCTCGCGAAGCCTATCAGCCTGACGACGTTGAAAGACATGCGTTCTCAATTGCTGCCCAATTAAATGAAATAAATTAGCTATATACCATTTCACGGTTATTATCTTCCCTTGATAACACCAGAGGGCGTATCAGTGCAACTCACTTTCGGATAGTTCAATCAATAAAGATGGTAGCTGTATATCAAGATAATGTGACAGACCTCTCACATTCCGCAAGCAAGATCGATATATCACTATAACTATCTTGAAAATAAATTCTATCAATATTTGATCAATTGTTTTTTCATCCTTTATTTTTTCAGTAACTTGCGCTGTTGCCATCTTTCAAATAAATGTTCTCTGTCCATTTGAAAACTTCATTATCTTTCCATTACCACCTCATGCTCTAGTTTGTATTATTTGATTGTGCGAAAGAGTATCGTTGCTTAAAATGATTTTTACTACAATTTATCTCGCTTGAATAATTATGAAAATATGTTTATTACAGCTTTAGTCATTGCAGTTAATGGAGATTGATCGAAAACGAGAAAAAAATTCTAACTTCTTAAAGGATACCAGAATCAAAAATTTTCTTTGTATGTATGTTATTTAATTCGATTTTAATGTTTATATATCATAGGCGGGTAGTGATTTTTTTGCGCCGAAAATACCACGATTCTGTAAATTGCCAACAGTAATATAGTAAAAAAAAAATTGTCATCAGTTAGCTTAAATCACATGAATGATCACTGTGAATGATGGGTAATTTTCTTTACAAACAAAATCGCATCTCCAGTTAACACCTGACATTTCTCTACCGTATATGTAAAATTTTATTAACATGATTAAATTAAAAGAAGTAGTAAAACAATAATAGTATGCAATATATATATATATATATATATATATATATATATATATATATATATATATATATATATATATATATATATATATATATATATATATATACTCGATAAAGACTGTTGCATTTATGTTAATGTTTATTATATTTTTCATGAAATAATTTGAGTTATATCTAGGAAGGATATATTCTTTTTTAAAAATGCACAAATGTCATCCATGCTTGAACAGATAGGCACACATACGATTCTCCTTGATGATTATTTTAATTTTATTTCCTTGAATGTTTGGAATTTTTAGAGTATACAATTTGGAGAAATATTGATATTAGACACACTATGTATGTATATGACATTTGTGTCTCTCACCTATCGGCCTGTCTGTCTATATTTCTGTCTCTCTGTCTCATTTCATCTGGTGCATGGGTATGTATATGTATCTATATGCTTGAATGAATGTGCTCACATACGTATATTACATAAACATACTTCTGGTTAAAAACGAGCATATAGTGGTGCTAAGATAGAAAGAGTGACTGATAAAGACAACAAATATGAATAGTTGGGATTATCCATTTATTACTGACTTGAAGAGCATGTTCTTACAAACATTCACAAAAATGAAATCCTTTACAACAAATATCTCTTTTTTTAGTCGTCCTATCTGCAATTTTACATCCGGTCACGTTGATCAATATTAATTTAAAAGGCGCACCAACGTAATAGGACGGAATATGTAAAATAATTGGATCTTTTAAACTTACATATTTGATGCATGGAAAGTAAAAAAAAAATGAACTAAATTTAAGAAAGCTTTTTCATATGAATTTGTTGATGGCAATCAAAAATTGTGTCTAAAGACTCCAGCAAATTTGAGAATTATTACAACGTGTCAGCATAGGCAAAGAAAAATCATGCTGAAAGTTATTGCATGCACTGTCCGATGCTTGATGTTTCCAGTTTTGAGAAAACCAGCGAGAAATATAAATAATTAATGTTCCATTTTTGTATAAAAAACCCAAAACATTTCTAGTCTAAAATATTCAGCATTACAGATCAGCTGACTTATCGAACTCGTGTTATAATTTTCTTATCGAACTCTCTTAACTCGTGTTATAAACGAACTATTAGCCTTGAGCAAATGAATGAGAAAGAAGGACATATCAGCTTATGAAAAATGACAAATATTGAGATGATTTTCGTTAAAGTTATGCAGCCAAAAATGTGCAATAAATGTTTTTTAGTCGGAGAGCAAAATTAAAAGTTCCTACAAATGTATATGAAATTATGGATTATGAATATATATTATCTAGTATAATATAAATATGGACAGTATATTTAAATTAATTATTTGATATCATTTAGGTTTGGACAGTAAATATTATTTACTTATCGGATATAACGAAAGTATGGGCACCGAATCTAATTATCTGATGTAATGTCTATAATTATTCTCTTGGTATGAACACAATATGTTAGATAGATATAATTTATTCATTGATTTAACCATTATGATCTGTAGTACAGCTAAGATTCTGAACTATCCAGAACTGGAAATTTTTTGTGTGGTATGCGCATTGGAGCTAAGGGAGGTAATTTTAAGTGTTACGATCAGTAACTCCGTTGCAACCGTGAAATGCCCTATTGATGGAAGCGCCTATTCAATGATGAAAGATAAATGATGACACAGGAGATACGACATTGCTTACAAATAAACTTAGAGGATGAACGTAGACTGTGGCAAGGCTACGAACGTTGATTGAGAAGCACTTTGCTCAGAATTATCTATGAAAATAACGTTATAACAAAAAAGGAATAGAACACTCTTTCGAGAGCAATTGTTCATTATAGTGTCAATTTTTACCGAGCAGGATTTCGTCATAAATATGATTGTACTCGCAGTCTGTGGGTTCGGCATGCGTACAGATACTCTCTATAACCGTAAAACCTAGACTATAATGGACAAAATGCATATAGAACAGCTCTCAGAGTTTGAGGAAAACTTTAGCAGAAGCGGCAGCGGATCTGCACAGAACTATCGGGTTAATCAAGTCGAATCAGACGTGTGAGACCTGCACCGCCATCGACTTGCTCGCCGGAAACCTCTCGATGCTTGTCTTGTCTATTCGGGAGCACTTTCATCGTCCTCTGTTATTATTTAAATGTTTGCAGTAACTGTCTTTTGTACAGTAAAGTCCTTTTCCGTCATCATTATGGAGAGCTTATTTCAATATATGAGCACAATATTGTCCAAGCAATGTAATACTTTCATTGTAGGGCCCAACCCGGCTA